AATCTTTACATACCACCAAATCACAAACTACATCTTGGTTTTAAAGCAGCAAATTGAAGCCAATTACAATCTGTTTCAGTGTGACGCAGTGACGTAATCTACTAAATTTAAATAGATTTCATTCCAAAATAGTCAAATATACACAATATTTATTTTTAACATTTAAGTGATTGAGAATGATATCAAATATCAATCCGTTGTGTTATTTTCACGTTGCTGTTTGTCTTTTTTTGAAAGATTGAATGAATCTTTGTATACCCCCAAATCACAACTGTCCACTTATCCACCTGACATTAACCAACACAGGGTGGGGAGAGGGCCCCTGAGAAGAACTCATCCCCCCTCCCTTATCCCTTATTAAAAAATAACATGTTGACCTCAAGTGACGTAAAAGGCCATTGACAAAACCATTTATCTAATACCCTGTCTAAACAGAGCTCAAATTAACTATAAATAGATTAAAACATTTCCGGAAAATGAAGCAAAATTACCCCTAAATGATCTCTTAAAGTTTAGGTTAGGTAATTTTTGACATAACATTACCCAGCACACTTTCTCATCTGGCAGAAAACTTGCACCATAAAAAATGGGCAGACAATAAACAAGAAACAGTAAAAGTACAGAAATCTGAACACTAAAAAACAAAACGACAACAAATAAAAAACTTGTGGTTCACAAACAAACACCACTCATTCATCGGTTCACAGAAACAAATTATAAAAAGTCATCTCCAGGATCCCGTCGAATCAAATATGGCCTGCACGCTTTTTCCAAATACCTTTTCCTTTTTTTTCCCAGTGGAAACACCCTCTGCATCTGCCTCGCCCTGTGCACCAGCTTGGGTCTATTACATTTTTTCCAAAATATTGCATTAGTTCTTTTAGCTTGTAAAAAAAACACCTATTTATAGTTACTTGCTCACTCTTTGTAAAGTTGTACTTTCCGTATATTACTAATCTAAAAAGCACAGGGTCTTTTGGAACTTCCTTTGAGAAGATTGTCTCAACAGCTCTTTTAACCTCGTCCCAGAAAAGTCCCACCTCAGGACATCGCCACATGCAGTGGAACAATGTTCTTATAGCATTTGATTACAATTTGAACATACTTCGGGTACATTTTGATTGTTTCTCTTCACTTTTTCCGGTGATACGTAATCTCTACACATTTAGATTGATCACTGTTTGATAGTGTACGAGCGAAGCCGGCGATGGGTTCTGTTAGCCCGATTCTTTAGTTAGAAACCTGAAAATAAGAGAAGATAGAGTAGATAAAAGAGTAGAAAAATGACATTTATTGGGTCACAGGTAAAGTATATCAGCGCTGGGCTCTCACAGACCAAGCTCCCCGAAGTCCGGGCGTGATGGATATTTATCTTCTGAGCTCGGTCCTCCCCTTCAATAGGAGGAATGGACACAACCCGAGTTCTATTGGCCAGTTACCTCTAGCATAAACAGGCCAGGTCCTAATTCATGCAGATGACATTGGGATGTGCTAACAAAGTGTGTGTTGACCTAAAGACGTTGGTCTATTGCAATAGAGAGAGGAATAGAAGTTGTGGGCACAGCCAGAAAGTTAACACAAAAGCATTGTTCTAACAGGAATAAGACAATAAGTCATTTACACGGGTTATGCTATAGCATACGATGCTAAAGTAAATAGCTATAGCCCGATTCTAACAGTTCTGTTTGCGTTACAGACATGATGCCGCTTTTGCACAACTACGTCACGGTGGACACGGACATGCTGCTGTCCAACCCGAAGCACCTGGAGGTCATCTACAGCATGTGCAAAAAGGTGGGGGCGCGCTCCGCCTCGCCGAGTGTTGTTTTCCCCCATCGCGCTTCGGTGCGCTGGCGGTGAGCAGCTTCTCGGCTCCGTCCGGTTCCAGGTGCTGAGCGTGGACACGGGGGAGGACGCCGAGTGTCACACCGCCAAACTTTTGGAAGTGATCATCCTGCAGTGCAGAGGCCGAGGC